TTTGATACGGAAAAACATGTTCATGGAAAACAACATCCCTAGACACAAAAATTTCTCTGGATTGAATATTTAACAAAACATATCCTTTTGTTCCCCTTTTAAAACCAAGAAAAACACATTTCGATGCCCTTGGATCAAATTTTCTTCTATTTGTTGACAAAGTGCTAGCATAGCATAAAGATCCAAACACCTTTAATTGATTAAAATTTGCTTCAGTTTTGTAAAGCATTTCATGAGGAGAAAAATTATCTAAAACAGGTGTGGGAAGCATGTTTATAATGTGGGCAGCATGTATCACAGAATATGACCAGTAAATTTTGGGCAAATGAGATTGTATCATGAGAGCTCTTGCTACGTTTAACAAATGACCATGTTTCCTTTCAACTATACTATTTTGTTGTGGAGTATTGACACACGAGGTTTGGTGCATTATCCCTTTGTTGACAAAGAAATTAGTCATGAAAAATTCAGTCCCATTGTCACTTCTTATGATTTTTATTGTTGTCTCAAATTGTGTTTGAACGAAAACAACAAAATTTTCCAAAGTCTTAACAGTTTCAGATTTTTGTTTTAAAAGAAAAATCCATGTGTACCTTGAACAATCATCAACTATGGTCAAGAAATATTTATGACCATGAATTGATGGTATTGAGTATGGTCCCCACAAATCAACGTGAATCAGATCAAAACATTTTTGAGATTTAGATGTACTAATAGGAAAGGGAAGTCTCTTTTGCTTTGCATAATGACAAATATCACAAACATATGATTTGTTGTATTTAACAAAAGGAAATTTATTCTTGATAACATCAATACATTTGTTTGAAACATTCCCTAACCGAAAATTCCAAAGGATTTCTAGATCACTAGCAGTGAAATTGACAGTATTGATGGTATGTGTAAATTTGGTGGGTTTGATTTGAAGTTTGTGATAAAATGAGACCCTGAGTATATAAAGCATAGCTTGCATCTTAGCTTAACCAATCATCTTCAAGGAGTTCTTGTCCTGAATGTGAAAACCATCAGAGTCAAAAGTAAGCACACATGATAAATTATCAATTAACTTTGCTACCGAAAGAAGATTAAAAGTGAAACAAGGAATATACAAAACATTGTGTATGACATGATTTTGATTGAGAAAAACACTTCCAGAATAATTGGCAGTGACTTGATTTCCATTTGGCAACTTGACACAGATAGGATTAATTTGATGATATGAAGTAAAATGAGTCAAAGATGAACAAATGTGGTCAGTGGCACCACTATCAAGTATCTAAGAACTAAAGGAATAAGGAGATTTATTACCAGTGTGTGTTGTCATGTTGGAAGGAATAACAGAGACTTGATTTGAAACATTGCCAGTGGATTTAGACTATTGTAAAAGAGCTAACAATGCTTGACACTACTCAGGAGTAAAATTAATTTGTTGAGGCTGTAATTCTGCCTTTGAACCTTCATGATTCTGCTCACCATCAACATTAGAACTTGCATTTTGAAATACTGCATTAGCATGACTTTGATCATGGTTCTGATTTTTAAACTTGAAATGAGGTGGGAAGCCATGCTTTCTATAACATGTATCAATGGTATGTCCTGTCTTTCCACAATGACTACAGATTTTAGAAGCATTTCCTTTTCCATAGCTTCCTCTTCCATAACTTGCAGTGTTGATTTTATAGCCCCCTCTACCAGTAACAGCCATTGCCTTGGACTGATCACCAAAAATTTGTCTCTCTTGTTGTATAACAAGAGGGAAAACTCTATTCAAAGATGGCAAGGGATCCATCAATAGAATTTGAGTTCTAACAGTCAAATAGTTATCATTTAGCCCCCTTAGAAATTTAATAACCTGGTCTTGTCCTTTATATTTAGCAACATTCCCAATAGCACTACAGGTGCATTTAAAAGCACAAGAACAAGCAGGTAATGGGCACAAAAGATCAAGCTCATCCCAAAGAATTTTGAGCTCAGTGAAATAGTTTGTAACACTCAACTCACCTTGTTTGAAAGAAGAAATCATCTCTTGAAGATCAGAAATGCGAATCATGTCTCCTTGTGAGAACCTGTCCTTTAAATCATTCCATATGTCGAAGGCGTTGTCCATACAGATAATGCTCTGTGCAATGGATGGAGAAACAGCCTTGAGCATCCAGGAAACAACCAGCATATTGGCTCTCTGCCATGCTGGAAACAATGAGCTGGTACGAGTGGGAGCTTCTATGGTTCCATCAATGAAACTTATCTTGTTCTTTGAAATGAGACTCATTCGAAATGAACGTGACCAATGATGATAGTTTGGCCCCTCAATAACATTCGGGACAATGAGAAAGGAGGGATTATCAGATGAACTGACATGGTAAGGGGAACTAAGGTCTTGTGAGGGATCAATAACTTCACCCATGTGTAAAAGTAGTAATCAGAGCCCTGAAAATCAGAGCTCTGATACCATATTAGAAAACAAAAAGATGATCGGGAGAGAAGAAGGAAAGGAATAATATGAGAATGAATATTTCTCTCTCACTATGAAACCAATATAAAAGGTCTGAATATATACAAGCAGTACACCTTTTCTAGGCTTAACCGTAAAGCAAAATATCAAAGCAATGAACTAATAAAAATAAGACACCTGTACAAAAAGATCAGGAAAGAATAAAAAAAAGATCACAACTTGTTTTTATCAAAAAAGACAAGATAGTAGAATTGCTATTAGCTTCCTTCTAGAAGCTTGTATCCATATCCTTTGATACTTGGTATATTTCAAAATCCTTTTGGCAGCAAGAAGATGAGATACTCTAGGTTTCTGCATGTACCTTGATATCAGTCCAACGAAAAATATCAGGTCTTGTGTGACAAAGATAACGTAATGAACCAACAATCTGCTTATACTCTGTTTTGTCGACATATTCATCACTCCCTTCCTTCTCGAGAATCAGACCCACTTCTGATGGAGTGATTGCTGAATTACAATTTAGCATGTTGAACCTCTTCAACACTTCTGTTGCATATCGATGTTGATGCATCACTATTCCTCCTTTTACTTTTGTAAATTTGAAACCCAAGAAATAAGACAAGGCTCCCAAGTCAGTCATCTCGAATTCAAGCATCAACTCCATCTTAAGATTGACAATATCTTCTTCATGATTTCCAGTAATCAAAAGATCATTAACATACAGACAAATTATAATCAAGCTTCGTTTCTTTCGAACATAAACTCCAAACTCACATGTACACTTCACAAAACCAAGTTTTAACATGTAATTTTTGATTCTTTTATTACAGGCTCTTGGCGTCTGTTTGAGACCGTAGAGAGCTTTCTTCAACTTAAACACCTTCTCCTCTTGTCCTTCTATTATAAACCTAGGAGGTTGCAACACATACACCTCCTCTTCAAGGAGCCCATTTAGAAATGTTGATTTAACGTCGAGCTGATGCAATGTCCATCCTCTTGAGCTTGCAATAGCAATAATTGTTCTTATCGTCTCAATTCGAGCAACAGGAGCAAACACTTCTTTGTAGTCAATATCGGGCCTTTGAAGGAATCCCCTTACGACCAACCTCGCTTTATACTTTACAATCTTACCTCCTGGATCAGTTTTGATCTTAAAGACCCATCTCACACTAATGGCCTTCTTTGATTTCGGTAAGGATACTAGCTCCCACACTTGGTTTTTCTCGATCGACCTAATCTCCTCTGTCATAGCATCAACCCACTTCCTGTCCTCAATAGCTTCTTTAAAACTAACAGGTTCAACCTCCGAAAATAATGCAAAGTGTACAATGTCACCATCTTCATTGACATTTGCATATGAAGCCATTTCAAAACCTCTGAACCTATTGGGAACTTGGCTGTTCCTTTGAGATCTTCTTTGAATTGGGGATATACTTCTACCTCTTGGTAAATCAACTTCCTGATTCTCATCAATTTTAGCCACCTCAGAATCAATGACAACACCATTATATCTGTCATCTAAACTTGACTTCCAATTCCATCTTCTCGATTCATCGAACACAACATCTCTACTTATCACAATCTGCTTAAATTGAATTAAGCAACTTGTAACCACCATTTTGATGGTATCCTAACAACACCATCTGCTCCCCTTTGTCATCAAGCTTTCTTTTTAATTGGTCGGGTACATGTCTATAACAGATTGAGCCAAACACTCTAAAATGGCTTACGTTGGGTTTATTTCCAGACCATGTTTCTTCTGGATTCACTCCTTCCAGCCTCTTTGATGGACTTCGATTCAAGATGTACGTGGCTGTTGACATAACCTCACCCCACAAATACTTTGGTAGCTCCTTAATTTTTGGCATACTCCTTACCCATTATAGTTCGATTTTTCCTCTCTGCAGTCCCATTATGTTGAGGTGTATATGGTGGGATAACTTCATGCTCAATACCCTCTTGATCGCAAAAATTTTGGAATTCTCTTGACATGTACTCACCTCCTCCATCAGTTCTCAAAACTTTGATCAATTGGCCACTATTGCGTTCCACCAGCACCTTAAACTTCTCAAAATCTTCCAAGACTTCAATCTTTCTTTTGATTAGGTAAATCCATAACTTTTTAGAAAAATCATCAATGAAAGAAACGAAATACCTATTTCCTCCAAGGGACTAAGTTTGGATTGGACCGCAGACATCTGAGTAGACTACTTCCAACCTCTCTTATGTTTTCATCGACACATGTTGTTTGAATGAGTTTCTTGACTGTTTACACTCAAGACACTCTTTACAAACTTCACTAGGTTGATTAATATGGGGCAATCCTTTCACCATGCTTTTTGATTTCAAGGTATGTAAGTCTCTAAAGTTAAGGTGTCCAAATCGATAGTGCCAAAGCCATTCCTCTTTATTGACTGTAGCTGCAAAACACTCATGATCGAGTACGTCGATATCGACCTTAAATGTTCGATTCTTGGTCAAAGGTGATTTTAATAACAATCGATGTTGACTGTCATATATAGTAAGCATCTTATCTTCTAACTTCGATACATATGACAGGAAGGAAGGATTGGTTTGTAAATCTTGATGAATCAATAAAAAGCAAAGTAAAATTTGCTGATGATCGAGTCATGATAGCAGAAGGGGTTGGAAAAACTCTTGTACGTATATGTGTCAAACATCCCGTGTCAAGATACCAGCAATTTTCTCCTCCACCTTCCTTTTGAGTTGTGGTAACCATTAAAAGGACTTGTTCTGAATCGTCATCTTCCACTTCTCGAGAAAATCGGGCTTCGTCCCTTCTAGGATTAGGATACCAACAACTCTTGGCATAGTGACCGAGCTTATTACAATTGTAGCATTTAACGCTTCTTATGTCAACGTTACGCCCTTTCTTTTGTTGATGATCAACGTTCTTTCTAGTATCTTGAACCTCTTTTCCCTCAATTCTGCCTAAATCTTGCCTCGGTTTATCTTTATTTTTCTTTTTCTTCTTTGATACATCCTTTGGGTTAGACTGAGCTTGAAGGGCTTGTTCAACCTTTCTTTCCTCACCCTTTCGATCATCCTTTGTTCATGTGACTCCAAAGAACCTTGAAGCTCCTCAAGACTCAACTCCTCAAGATTCTTTGACTCCTCGATCGCCACTACGATGTGATCAAACTTTGCAAGTAGTGTATGCAACACCTTTTCAATCACCTACAACTCAACTAGTTTTTCCCGAAGACCTCTCATTGTGTTCACAATTGTTTGAACACGAGTAATATACTCAGCTACAGTCTTATTACTCTCCATTGACAAAAGTTCGTATTGCCGCCGTAACGTTTGAAGCTTTACTTTCTTGGTCTTGGTTGCACCACCATGCACTTTCTCAAGAATATCCCATGCCTCATTTGATGTCTCAGCTTTCGAGATCCTCTCAAAGTTGGCTACATCCACACTTTGATGCAAGATGAACAAAGCCTTGCAATCTTTCTTCTCATTCTCCCTATTCGCACCCTTTTGTGCCTCTGTCCCACTTGTTTCGACGTGCTCATAGCTTTGTTCAATGAAATTCCATACACCTTGATATCTCATAATAACTTGAATTTGTATCTTCCAATTATCATAGTTCTTTGTCGTGAGAATTGGAAGATTCGTGGGAATGGAACCTGATATTGTTTCCATTGCAACAATAATCCCTTCAAGTCTAAAGCCTTTCTTGGCTGCAGGGGGACTTCTTTCAAATCACAACTCTGAATACCAGTTGTTAGAACGTAAAACTCTTTTACGTATGTGTATTGCAAAATGAGAGAAACACAATATTTATACAAGAGATAAGAAAACAGAATAACCAACACAACAACACAGTAGGCAGTAGGTAGTCAAAATAATTACTAGGACAAAAATATGATTTTGTGATAAAATTTTACATCAATTTTATAATAACTAATATAATATATAGAAGATAACATTTTTTAAATAAAAGAAAATATTTTATGTTAGATGCGCTTAACTGACGTTGAAAAGAATTTGTATATCAATCTAAATAAGAAGTGATGTAATACATATTATTTTATATTGGTGGTTACTAGTGGAAAAAAGGTTTTTAAAATCGGTTATTTTCAACTTTTAAAATCGGTTAAATAATCGATTTTAAAAGTTAACTTTTAAGATCGGTTGTTTTATAACCGATCTTAAAAGTCCGGGCTCCAAAAAAAATTAAACTGGAACCGGCCGTTCCAAAACTGAAACGGGCCGTTCCAGGCTGTAAAAAAACTATTTGAAGAACGGACAACAAAACGGCCCGTTCTCCATGGAGAACGGGCCGTTCTCATTGCAGAACGGGTCATTCTCCTTGCAGAACGAGTCGTTCTCCTTGCAGAATGGGCCGTTCCAGATTCGAAATTTATCCAAAATGAACTTACAACGAAAATAGAGACAAGAGAAGAGCATGAGAAGACGAAAACGAAAACAAAAACGACAATGAAACTTACCTTATTGGAGACTTTAGAAAATGAGAGTGCGAGAGAGTAAAAAAAGGAATGGGGGGAAAGATTAAAGAGAATGAGAATGGAGGAAAATATAAAAGGTTTCTGACGATACTTTTAAAATCGGTTATTTAAGAATCGATTTTGTATACTACATACAAAATCGGTTCTGAAATAACCAATTTTAAAAGTAGCACTTTTAAGATCGGTCATAAAATAACCGATCTTAAAATTACTTTTAAGATCGTTTAAATTTTAACCGATCTTAAAAGTGTTCATATTATTTACAAAATTACCACCACGTCACTTTTAAGATCGGTTACCTTGTAACCGATCGTAAAACTCCAATTTTAAATTCAATTTTTGCACTAGTGTTAACTGGTGTAAAATATATATAGTTTTTGTGTCGATTAAAAGAAGCAACATAAAAAATTCTAGTTTAAATCTCCCTCGCAAATCAGAAACCTCATTAACGTTGTTCTATTTTTCCTCCCAAAATCACTCTACTAGGCCCAACGACTTGCCACCACCTCCTTTGACATCCAACGATATCAACTTTGTTTCCCAACACCAACACCTTTCCTTTGTCTCGTACCATATTTCTATCATTGACAAGCTCATTGCAGTGCTTCTCTGCACATTCGTGCCATATTGTTTCTCCTGGGTATTCATTGTTGTCATTCCACAATAAAAAAAAGTATTTATATAATGATAAGTATTTTATAGTGACACATTATTTTTTATTAGAAATTATTTTTTATATATTATAGATATAATATATATTGATAATTTTTTTTAAAATGTAAGTATATATAATTTATGGTAATATAGTTGAATCTCATTTAAAATCAATATTAAAATTGTGTGTAAGTGTATATTAAATAAATTTATACATGCTTATATAATATTTATAATGATATTTTTTATATGTCACTGTTGCATTTAACATTTATTGTGATGTTTGATTATTTCGATTGCCTCTATATACTCTATTGTTAGACATGATGATGTGTTCTTTATGAGAAATCTTTTGAAAATATTGTTGGATGATGATATAAATGAGTTGGAATGATTATGGCTGATTTGGATTATTTAATAAAATTTTATTAAGTTTTGAGTGCGTACTAAGGAAGACATATCTCATTAAGCGCAACTTATGAAATTTAGGAAATTATGAAGGGGTGTTAAGATCTATAAATCCATGCCAAGTTGATTATACTTCCTTTATTTTTCTTTTTAGATGTTTTGACACTAATTTTTTTTTTCAATTTTTATTGTTACTTTTTTAAACTAATTAATGACTTATTAATTTTTTTTTACCCTTGATAATTAATGTGTGTTTATTGAACAATATGTTTATTCATTTCTAATATATCTATTTTTTCTCCAACTACCTAAAGGGTATAATAGGAAAGTAAGTAATAAATATTTTTAAAAAATTGAAATATCAATTATTTTCTTTATTTTTGTGCATAAATCTTAAACGTAAAAAAAAACGAAAGGAGTAGTTTTAAGGACACGTTGAATGGCCACTAAGTGTAGTGACTCTACACCTAAAACCTTCATCATTTTTTTTGGAAAATATCATATGAACATCGCTGACTGTAATCTATTCATGTTATATGTTTGATATTTCCTATGGAGTAGTAATAAAAATCACAAATGTTAATTTTTGGACTGATCGACCATTTTGAAATTATTTATATCTGAGATTTTTTTACTGTAGATTCACTATGATGTGTCTTTTGCTTTTTTTTTTTACTTCCATTGTGACTCAACTAAAGTCATTACCAGCAGAAGCGTCGCATAGTGTCTTTTTTATTTCATGAACTTGCTATAACCTATAATGACTAAAATAAAATAAAAATATATTTTTTTAAACTATTACAGATAAGAATTTTATTTTATATTTAAGAGAATCATTATGGATCGATACCTTTTATTATTTTTTGTAAAAAAATTAATTTATTTAAAATTAATTATTTCTTATATTTTTTAAGGCTAACATTGTTTCTTTTAAAAAATGAAGTAAAAAATAAATTCAATTTTCAATATTAAATATATAATTAATATATATATATACACGATTATAAATATAAATTTAATAATGTAGGTTAAATCTTTTACTTTTATTTTAATTAAAATAAAAATTTAACAAATTATTAAATTAATAAAAATATTAAATAAATATCTTTTACTAAACTCGAAATGAGAAGGATTTTGGCCTTGCAACAATGAGAAGAGTGTGACTTTTCATCACATTGGTAGCAGAGTCCTTTGTTGCATCAGAATTGGAGTTCCTCCGATGAGAGGTGTTTGAGCTTGACACGTGACCCTAATGATGTGGTAAAGGGTAGCAGTGGGGACAGGGTTGACGAGTTGGAGGGACGAAAGGCACAACGATGGTCATTGATCTTTTCTTTATGAAGTTGCGTAAGCGTTGTGGCCTGAGGAAGTGAGACAGGTTGCATGGCCCGCACTAATACCCGATGGAGTTTTAGCGTCAAATCAGAAATTGAGCAACTCAAGAGAAAAGATGGCACCAACCTAACAATGGGATTGGTGAGGCATTCAAACTCATGCAAGTAATTATTGATGGGTCATGTTGGGTTAACTTGAAGAGGGTGCATGTAGGATCATCATAGAAGGATGGAGCAAAACGAATCTGCAATGCCTGCAAAAACTCGTGCAAAGAGGTAATAAAGTCGTTACGAAACATCCATTGGTACCATTCTTCTCTTATATAAACCCTTCACTCCATTCTCTCAAACTCAAACCTTAACCTCCAATCGAAACTTTTTTTTTTTTTTTTTTACATTCCCCAATTCACAATGCCTACAGTTTCAGAAGAGCCTCTCCTTGCTCCCAGCTCTCATCGCCTCATTAAGTTATTAATAAAATACCCCTAAATCTGGAAAATGTACAAAAAAAGCTCTAGCCACCTGTTAGATTGTGGAGGAAGTGGACCTCTCTTAGGACCTCTGCATGGGAATCTTTCACTGACAGTGAATGCCATTTTGTCACCCACGTCCTCGCCTTCTTTATCGCCTTCGACGACATCATCCTTGAAATCCTTATAGATCGCTTCACAAAAGAGGTCTAATTTTAAATTGCGGTTGCGGTCGCACTTGTAATTACTGCGGTTGTGGGTATTGCGAGTATTGCGATGCGGATTGCGAAGTCGGGATCTAGCTGAGTTCTGGAAATGTCATCCTCCACAGTTCAAGGGAGATGTAGATCCAGAGGTAGCTGACCGTTGGATTTGTGAGCTGGAGAAAATATTTACAGTGCTGGGATGTTCTCAGGAGAGGAGGCTGGCATATGCTGTGTACATGCTAGTTGGAGAGGCAGAGCATTGGTGGAGAGGTACCCATCACATGCTGACTGCTAGAGGAGTGACCGTTGATTGGGAGTGCTTCAGAAGGGTGTTCTTGGATAAGTACTTCCCTGAGAGCGTGAGACACGCCAAGGAGGCTGAGTTTATGCGGTTGCACCAAGGTGGGATGACAGTTTCCGAGTATGCGATGAGATTCGAGCACTTGGCTCGTTTCTATTCGCAAGCTATTTCTAAGGCCTGGAAATGCAGGAAATTTGCTGAGGGTCTAAAGCATGAGCTGAAGAGGGTGGTGGTGCCTATGGCCATCACTGAGTTTCCGGCCTTAGTAGAGAAGGCGAAGGTTGTTGAGCAATTGGAAGGTGGCAACCGTGTGACTAGGACTACTGAGGGACCAGCTGGGTCCAAGAAGGGAGGAAGTCAGAGGAAGCCATATGATAGGCCCCAACCACAGCAAGGGGGTTATGTCATTAGGCAACCTTCTAATGCTGCTAGAGGAGGGAGACAGGGTGGAGGTGCCACTCTCAGATGTTACAGGTGTGCTGGGCCCCATCTTATCCGGGATTGCCCACACACGGAGAGCCGGTGTTTCGAGTGCCAATAGATGGGCCATGAGTCGTTCAACTGTCCCACCAGAATCTGACCGGAGAGGGAAAATCAGAGGAATGATACTCAGAGAGGCGACGCTTAGAGGGGTGACAGACCCACTATTGCTGGGAGAGTGTTTGCTTTGACTGGGGCTGAGGCTTCGACTTCTTCTGATCTTGTGAAGGGGAAGGGAAAAGTTGCTGGTAAGGATGTGATGTTTTTGTTTGATTCTGGAGCTTCTCACTCCTTTATCTCTTATGCTTGTGCTGCTATGC